TTCCACCTTGCAGCGTTGCTATGATCACCTCTCGGCCCTAGTGTTATGATTCTTTAGAGTCTGGACAGTAGGACTCTCCTGGCATTTTTTTCCTCCTGACCGGGACCTGTTGTGGTCACAGATGCGAAAGCACTTGACGTTTGTGGAGAGGTTAGACTTTTAGAATCAACTCTGCCACTACCTCAATATCAAGTTACAGATGTGTTGAGCCTTTTTTCTCACTTATTAAATGAGGGTTTAGACTACATTATTTTGGAAGGCTTTCCAAGCCTTAAGATTACTAGCCTGAGGATAAGACCCATTCTTTTCTATTCCAGTAAGATCTGACTTTGAGGAAATGAGTAGCAATGTAGGGAGTGTTTTAATCATTTATCATCATTTAACATAAATTTAAGTTTCTGTTAAGATTTGGAGATGGACTCAGAGCTGTGATTATTGATCCTAAGTGGGCATCAAATTTGATCCTATGGACTTTTTAAAAAAGCAGATGCTTGGCATCACTGTCTACTAACTGAGTCAGGTTTTCCATGGATGGGGTTCAGGCATCTTTATTTTTAAAATAACCACTCAGCTTGAAAAGGTGGGAGGAGGCAAAGCGCCAAGAGGCATCCAAGGAGGAGGGATGATTCTGAAACTGTCCCACCTGCTCAGATTCGGTGGCCTTGGTTATGGCTTTGTTTTACCACTGATGGTTCTCAGATCTTGGGTCGCTCTTTGGGCCTCACTCTTCTCATCTGTAAAATGAGATGGTTGGGATCAATTCTCCAATTATTTAGAACATGTTATCTGCCTGGTGCTTTGCCAGGCACTGAAGCTGCAGTGATGAAAGAGAGACTTTGCCTTAAAAAAGTTGTAATTTACCAGAGGAGGCAGGCAAGTAATCTAAAAATTTTATTGTAGTGTGAGGTGAGCATAACGAAAGCAGAATTAGAGCTGGCAATGTCTGAGGAAATGCTTCCTGGAGGAGGTGACAGCTGAACTGTGCTTAAAGAATGAGTAGCAGTTAACCTGGTGGGGAAGTGAAGGAAGGATGGTAATTCGAGGAAACAGTGTGTGCAAAGGTATTAGGTGAGAAAGAGAATGGAGTTTGGGGGCATTGGTCAGAGTTTAGGGTACATGTAAGAGTGGAGTAAGGTGATGCTAGACAGTAGAAGACCTTGTGTGCTAACCTACACCTAGCCTTTCCCTCACTTATAGTATTTTAACAGCTAATTACACCATCAGGATAAAGACATGATCAACTTTACATTCTAGTAAAGTCCTCACGTACGCACTGTAGGGAGTAAACTGAAAGGGCTTGAAAATGGTGGCGTGTTGATCATTCAGGCTACTTTAGAAATTTAGTGAAGAAATGGGGATCATTTAACAAAGTGTATGAAATAGACCTTATAGATAGAATGAGAGAAAAGGAGGAGGAATGTGAGTGGAAGGAACTCATTCCTATTTTCGCTGTTAATTGGAAGGAGATGTTTGTGGAAACTTTGAAAGAGCAACATAGGTGAATAGGTGGAAGAAAGAGTTGAAGGAGAAGCAAAGAATTTCTGAGGTGAAGATGATGAGCTGGTAGTGGTGCCAAGACTCCTGTTCCTGTGATTATCTCCTATGCTGCTCATCTGGCTGTCGGAGAGGGATGACAGGATCGACCCAGGATGGGAGTTTTGCAGGCTATATACTGGAAGGCTTAAGGGCTACGGGGTTGAGGTATTGGAAGGCGGTGATTAGACTAATGGCCACATGAGTCTAGGTTGGATAGGAAAGGAAATGACACCTGAAGAAAACTGGAAATTAGGAGAAGATATAGGTTTAAGGGGACTGATTCAAGTTAAGATAGAAAAACAGGTTGGATGGATAGAAATTTCAGGTAGAAAAACATGACAGATGTGGTAGGTAGACACTCATTATCCACGATGAGCCACTTTATGCTATAGAGGCTCTAAAGCTAAAAAATACGAACAAAACAACCAAAACCACATCCTACATTTTCTAGTGTTGCTTGTAGCTAAGGCTCTGGATCTGATTCAATTTCTCCCGGTGGCTTCACTGAAAGGCTAAAGTGAAGATGGTAGATCCTGCTTTTTCTACAGGACACGGAAATTTTCTGCAGTGGTGTTCCAGAGTCCAGTCCCTAGGTTTGTGGCAGCTGAGAAGCAGTGCATATGTCTTCTGATTTATTTGTTGGTGTGGCTCTACCAGATGTGGCATGACTTCATACCCTATAGCTGCATCACTGGTAACTCCTGGTCTTTGACTTGCAGGTGGTGTATTTCCGAGTCTTGATTCTCACTGTCCTGACTGTGGCAGAGGTAGCAGCTGTCCTGTGAGCTAGTTCTGTGGTGGAGTTCTGGCCCAGATCTCCTTGAGATCTTTAACAAGATCTCCTTGTGGCACTCTGTCACTGCTGGACATTCCCATCAACTATGAACTGCTTCTTCTCTTCCTTCTGAGATTTACTCCTTCTCTCTCTCTCTCTTTTTTATCCTGGCCTTTCCTTAGTAATCATCAATAGATTCTCATCCTTTAATTTGGGTCTTAGATTTTGGGGTGTCCAATTTCAGTCACAGTCATCTGTTCTTGCTTTGATTACATTCAAAGTGATGGTTCAGAACCGTTCATGTACAGATGGCTCCCAACTCTCTTTCTCCTGTCTTGGCTTTTCTCTCAACCTCCACTCACTTTGTACAACAGCTTAGTATACATTCTACTGAGACATTCCCATCCCCAACTCTCCAGAGCCACCACATGTAGAGTCACTTTTTTTCTTACCCCAAATCTAATCAGTCTTCTGTATTTTCTTTGCAATCTCTCTTTTGTCTAACGGCATCTTTGCATACCCAAGCTGGGACCATAGAAGTCCTATCCCTTCTCCATATTCCAAATTTGGCACTAAATTCTATAGATTGGAACTGCTTAAAATCATTGTTTTTTGTTCCCTTCTTGCTATCTCCACTGTACTGCCTTAGTTCCTGTTTTATTTGGCCTTAGTTTATGGACAGAGCTTCCTAAAGTGTTTCCCAGTCTTTAGGGTTGTCGCATCTTTAATCTCTTCCCACAGAGCAACCAGATAGATCATTCTCAAAGCAAATATGATCGTCTTATTACCCTTGCTCAGAAAGCCTCGGATGTTCATCCTCTTTTCATGGTTTTCCATGATTGGGCTCTGACTGCCTCATTAGTTTCATCTCCATCACTCTCCCACAGCTGTGACATCTTAGCCAGAATGCTCTGGCTATTTTATGCCTCAGAACCATTGTTTATGCTGGCCCAGGAGTGTTCTTCTTGGCGCTTGGAATATAAAACACATTCAAAGGTTCGCTGCTATTATTGTTAATATTTTAATTTTGAATCTTTTTAGTGAGATATCACCCAAGAATTTTTAAACAAAAATCAAAGCATTCTGACAATTGAAGCTCTAAAATAATGCCCCAGTGGATTACAGTAGAGGTGGGTCTAGTGGTTGTAAAAGAATAGAATGGCTCTTAAGCTAGCAAGGCTGAACTTTAATATGATTAAATATTGGTACATGTTGAAAGAAAGAATGAGTCAATCAGAAAGGGGACTGGTCCACAATGGAGATGTAGAAAGGGCAGCTCAGAGATCGTGCCTATCCGAGCCCTATCCAGGGAAGAGGTTTCCATAGTCCAAAGACTCAAGTTTTCTGTTTATTCCTGCTCTAAAGAAGGCAACACAACGTTGTCAGAGTCTAATGTCTTCACTCATCTGCCTCGTGGGAGTTATTCCCATTCTACTTGATAAGCAATTGTCCAATTATAATTTAGTTTCCCATATAGAGTGTTTATAGAGAAATAATGTAAGACTTCTACAAAGTTGTGGTTAACATTGTAAATTAGCAAATGCTCATTCAGGCATTACTGAGTTCCACCTTTTGAGATGAATCCATTTACACTGCTCCAATGGTAGAGAATGAAGTCTGATCTTGAAGTGAAGCTGACTCAGTGAGGAGAGAACTCAAACCTCGGGCAATTCAATCTTTATTTATAAATCAAGGGTTTATATGTTTTTCTTCTCTATTATTATGATTGTGAGCTTTCTGAGGACAGGGACTGCGTCTTATTCCTGCATGAGCAGGGCCTCTCACAGTGCTAGCAAAGAGCAGGAACTTGAATGTTTGAATGAATAGATTCAGTGATCCAAGAAGTCACTCTGTAGAGTGGAGCTTGTTGAAGAAAGGGGAAAATATTTGAGAGTTCAGAGGTGGTCCTGTGGGATGGAAGAAGTGGCAATTAGCGTGAGAATGTGAGCTTATGACAGGACAGATGAATGGTGAGGCTTGCCCTCTGGGTGGTTACCGAGGATGACAAGTGAGAAAGGCATTCCTGAGACTAACCAGTCTTCGAGTTGGTTTGGTGTGGCTGCGGCGGAAGCATCATGTGAGCTAGGGAGACGTAAGGAGTTACATAACATCTGCTCCCCTTAAGCTTAGCCAGCAGGCTTTGACTATTGCTCAGGCCTCCAAATAGAATGTTGGTGAGGCATTGTGTTCGACCTCTGTAAGGTCCAAACCCCGATTGGTGGAGAAGGTGGAATTGGGCCGGTAAACAGCAGAAGGAATAATTGTTCACCTGGGCTTGGAGTCTTGGCAAAGGGGCTTGGTGCCATTCGATGGTGGTCCATTGAGAGAGATGGGATCCTCTAGGTGGAGGACATTCTGCCTGTTCACATCTTCCTACCAAACTCCTTTATGGACCAACCCCAATCCCCCTTCATGAAGTCTCCCTTCCAGCCTACATAGGCCAAAGGCCTCTCTTCTTAACTCCCATTAGACTTAATATTTAGAGCACTCATTGTAGCCTATAAAATATCCTTCGTCAAATCTTCTGGAGATACATAAATAGTCTTCAGTTATATTATAAATTACCTAAGGTCTAGGGATCACTAGGTTGCTTGTTATTTCCCCATACTTCACAGGACGGCGCTAACTAGGAATGTAACTGATACCCCAAAATATTCTTTGAATTAAGTTTTTTTTGTTTTGTATTTAGGACTGTAAAGAGATTAAAGGAGAGCGGTTTACTTCTGTGGGAAAAAAGCTTTCAGTGAACAATGTCTCGGCAGAGGACAGAGGGAACTATGCGTGTCAAGCCACACTGACACACACAGGGAGACAGTACACTGTTTTAAACAGAATTACTGTAAATATCAGTAAGTATGCTCGTATCCACTGTCTTCACTTCCTCTTGGCTTTGCCTGAGATGGCTGGCTTCAGGCAGAAGTGATTCTTGATCTTGATTTTCCTGAAAGTCAGCAGGCTCTCCAAGAGTAGAAAGAGTGAAGTAAAAGGGCGTGAACAGTTTAGTTTTCTTATCTGAAAAACCAGAATACTCAAAACTCTTGGTTTATTTATGAAAATTAAATGAGTTCAAGCATATAGGGTAGCTATGGGGTGCCTGGCAAAGTATATTCAGTAAATGGCAGATATTATTAATATTACTCTTATTTCTCTCAGCCTTCCCTGGGGTGACTATTTTGGTGGGCCATCCCAGCTTTGGCCTCTCCTGCCTCAGGCGCTGTGGAGTTAAAGATCTCTGGACTTGGTTCCAGGAAACTTAATGCTCGAAGAGTTTCAGTTTTTGACCCAGAGCAGCCACTTTTCTTGAACATATGACCCGGAGATTTGAAAGCAAAATCTTAGGGGTAGAAGAAACCCTAAAAATAATTTAGCTCAAGCCATTAGCTTTATATAGGCCTAGGAGGGAAGCAACTTAGAGAGCTGGTTAGTGACAGAAACAGGGCCAGGACTCAGGCTTCAGTGTCCAGACAAGCGTTTTTTCTTCTAGACACATTCACCGAGGAACTCTTGCCTTGTTGCCTTTTGCTCTTTCTTCAGTGGAGAGTGGTTTTCTAGATTTACTCATCTAAATGGAGAGAACAAAAGGCTGAATATTTCTTTGACTTGGACCTTTGCGTTGGTCACTAATTTCTGTCCGACTTCATGATACTGGGGGATACTTAGCGATTTCCATGGTGTGGCTCTCTGGGGGGATGTGTTCAGCGTGTGTGGCTTGGTGCTTCCCACTTGGGGCCCCTCAGTTAGGAAAATTGATTGTATTAGATTTTATGATTTTTATGCTCCTGGGTTTACGCTAACTGATAATCTGTCCAGAAGTAGGCACCTTCTTCGTCTTGTTCACGGTTGAATCCCCAAAACCTCGCCCAGTGCCTGGCCTGGCCTCGGTGCAGATCTGTTCATTAACTGAATGGTTGACTACTCTCATGCTTTAGTTTTACATTGATGGCTGAGGGAATTCTTTGAAAGGTGAAATTTCAAAGGCAAAATGAAGAATACCTCAAGAGGTCATGTCGGTGCAATAAACATTTATTTATGATCTATTATATGCCCCACATTGTTGGAATCTACTAATTTAAAAAAATAAAAAAACACTGTTTCTTCTATTAGGAAGCTCTCAGCCTGCGGTAGTGGAGCCAGAGATCCAAACGGATCATTTTAACCTTAGGTGGTGAGGATAGAGTTACAGACAGCATCTGGGGAGCAGGAAAAGAATCAGAAGTAGCCACAGGGGTGGCAAGTAAATTCTGGGAAGGCTTCCGAGAGGAAATGTTGAATTTTGAACGATGAATAGGATTTACAGAAGTACAAAAGAATGAGGAGCGGCAGAAGGAAGAATGTAAGGCAAAGCACAGAAGTGTCTGCCATTATAGTTTATGTTGGATCTAAAACTAGTTTTGTTAGAGCGTGTGAGATGAGGAGGAGTGGGAGCTGAGGTCCCAAAGTTAAACAGGGACAAGGTCAAGGGGGCCGGTTGTACGCAGGCTCTACCGTGCAGCCACTGAAGAGCACTTGGATGGGTGTGGGTGCAGAGCGCCGAGCTGCAGCTGAGATGGGTGAGATCAGTCTTGAGGTGATTTGAGCAGGAATTGAAGAGGGTCTTGAGGCCTGGAGACCACGAGGGCGGCTGCTGCAATATCCAGAAGAGCGCTGGGAATCTGAACCTGGGTGGAGGTGAAGGGGGTTCTTCTTCGGGCAGTCATTTAGTGACTCTTCACTGAGCGCTAGATAGAGAGAACGTGATGGGGAGGAAAGCAGCCGTGACCGTGGCTCTGATGGAGCTCTGAAGTCTGAGCAGGGAGGAGAGGAACAGATGAATCAGATGATCCACTAATGAGGTGTGTAACTACCAAGGAGATTAATGCAATGAAGGAAAGGAAAATACAGGATCAGTCAAGGACTTGTTAAGAAGGCAGTGGGTCAGGGAAAGCTTCCTGATAATGGTGATGCCGATGGTCAGGAAGCACTGAGTGGTGGAATGGGCAAGGGAGCAGCCGAGTAAGGCCCTATGACAGGGTAGACCATGCTATGTCTGAAGGGTGGGAAGTAGACGGTTGGCTAGAGTGATGCTGATGAGGATCGTGGTTGGCAATGAGGTTGGAGAAGTAGTCAGGGGCCAAGATTAGGTAGGAACATGCAATCCAAAGCAGGGAGTACAGATTTTGTTCTAAGAACAATGGTGAGCAGCCAGAGGGGTTGAGTGCAGGAGAGTAGCATGGTGTGGCTTACATTTCTGAAATCCCAGTGTGGCTGCTATGCACAGAACAATCCCTACTGAGAGAGGAGGGGCAGTTAGAAGACAGGTGCAGAAACACAGGTGTGACATCAGGTAGGCACAGGCAACATGGTGGTGCTGAAGATGGAGAGATGTGTGTGGATTTGAGGCATTTTAGGAGGTAAAACCCACAGGGCTTAGTGTTGGACTGAATATGGGTGAGGGATGTGGTGAGGTCAGAAAGCTAGGTCTTCTGGTATATGCAACTGACCGGATGGTGCTACTATTTAATGAAATAAGATAACTCTGGAGGAAAACTGGATTTAGGAATGAGATCGTGAGTTTGGTCCTGAGTAAGCTGAGTACTTTGTGCTTTTGAGATGCCCAAATGGAGATGTCAATTGGGCCATGGCCTAGGTGGATCTGGAGCTTCGAGAAAGGTCTGGAGATCCAGCTTTCAAAGTCATTGGCCTCTAGAGGGTAATTGAAGAGGTGGGTGTGAATGAGGGTGTCTAGAGAAAGAGCAGAGAATAAAACACAGAAAGTTTAGGAGTGGAGGAAGGGGCACAGACTGAGAAGTGTTAAGAGGCAAAATTAGCTTGACTTGGTGATTGATAATTTGAAGAGGGTGAGGAAAAGCTGTTGCCTGGAATGACCTCCGGATTTTCGATGCGTGTGATCTACTGGAAGGTGGTACATCAACTAGCCGGTGGTGACTTCTTTTTGGGACATCCAGAATTTGAATAGTTTGTTGAATGTGCAAATATTCTTGTTATCATAAAGAACGTATGTCTTTGCATTTTCCTAGCTTCCCTCTTTTAACTTTTCCTTGTCCCGCCCCAAATATATAGGAGGCATGTGGGGCTTAATATGACTGCTAAATTTTAGTGGACAAAGGGGGAAGGGAAGAAATGGAGAAAGACTAAGGAATGAGGATTCAATACAAGGGAGATGATTGTAAAGTGGGGTGGAGGAATGGAAGAGCTGAAGAGTAACGTAAGATGTAGAGAACACGGAAAAGCAAGGGTGGAGGATGGAGGAGCGGAAGGGAAGATAGAATATTAGGGTCATTATTTCTCTCCATCTGGGACCTAGGTCAGGACTTTGCTTATAGCCACTGTTTAAGAAGTGTATTTGGATTATTAAGTAATGAGATTTTATTATACAGCCTCATCAGTTCATATTTATAGCAAATATATACTAGCAAAGTGAACGCTCTTGGTAGCCCAGCTTTTAGGTTTTTTCCTTAGCGATTCTTTCTGCATTTAATGAATGATATTTCGTCACCTCATGAGTTTTGTTTTCTCCTGAGCAGTGTTTATTGAAGGTCTGTTCTGTGTCATATTTTCTTTACGCTGGCATTGCATTAAAGTGGTTGCAAATGTATTGTATACGACTCTAACGCAATTTTTTGTGGATATGATTTCTTAGCAGAAAAAGTTGGAAATGGAAGAAGAATCCCCAAGATCATTTATCCAAAAAACAATTCAATTGAAGTACAACTCGGTGAGTAAAGTCATTGAAGGCTTTGGAATCACTGAGGGCAGGAATCAATATGTCCACATGTCCTAGTGAAGGTTTTGAATTTCAGGAATGGACACGAGTCCCGTACACATCTGGAGAAAAGGGGGCTCAAATTATTTTTTTAAATTTAAAGGCAATCACCAGTAAACTAAAAACATGTTGAATACCTTCTGAAGATGTACCAAGCGCATTAGGAGAGGCATCAAAACAAAAAATCAAGAGAGCTGAAGCCCGGGGGAGTTGTGGTTGGAAAGGTTTGCCAGTGAGCACAGTGGTCTAAATGATTACTGTAAATCTGTTTATGCAAAGGCAATGAAAATGTAAAAATAACTTCTCAAAGAGATGATCCATAAAGCACAACTACTATTAAGTAATGTTGATCAAGAATTGTGGACTAGGAGCCAGCCCTGTGGCCAAGTGGTTAAGATCACACACTCTGCTTCGGTGGCCCAGGGTTTCTCGAGTTTGGATCCTGGACATGGACCTAGCACCACTCATCAGGCCATGCTGAGGCGGCGTCCCACATAGCACAACCAGAAGGACCTACAGCTAGAGTGTAGAAACATGTCCTGGGGGGCTTTTGGGAGGGAAAAACAAAAGAGGAAGATTGGTAACAGATGTTAGCTCAGGGCCAATCTTCCTCACACACACACGCAAAAAGATGTTGGCTTTTGGCAAAAAAAAACACAACAAAACAGCCCCTTAATCTAAGATTAAAAAGAAAGAATTCTGGATGATATTACCTGAGACTGGAAAGTATATTAAAGGTGTAGCGGAAGTTATCATGCTATATTTCTTGTTTTACACAGGAAGGGGTGGATAAACATTACCTCAGGTTGTGATGCAGGTGGAGAAAAGGGGGCTCAAATTATTTTTTTAAATTTAAAGGCAATCACCAGTAAACTAAAAACATGTTGAATACCTTCTGAAGAGAAAAAAAGTAAATCAAACAAAGTCCTTATCAAAAGACAAATGCTCAGGTTGAGTCAAATAGTAAAATCCAATTACATGCTCTTCTCAAAAGACAGAGATCTAAAAGTACACGACCTAGAAGATTAAAAATAAACATAAGCAAGATATATCTTGCAGAAATTAACGCAAATAAATCAGATTGGCAATATTAATCATTCTATCTGATAATATATTTCAATGCAAAAAATTAAATGACAAATTGAATCATTTTATACTAATAAAAATTACACCACCTCTCAAAATAAAAATATTTTATGTGCCAAATAGCAGTGTATCAAAATACATAAAACTAAAACTCTCAGAAATAGAAGGACAATACAACAAGACAATACAATTGTTTCAATTATAGTGAGACATTTTAACATACTCTGGCTTTGACAAATGTGCTAGTCGAATAAAGATCCAAAAGATTCTAGTGATGTAATAAGAATAATGTGTTTAATAAATCACGCTCATAAACATCCATGAAAAACTCCGAGTCCCAAAAGAGGAAATTATACAGACCACAGGGTCCAATCACAATGTGGTCGATCTAGAAATCTACAACTAAAGTCAAAACAATGATAAATCTCACAAAAATAAAATTCACTAATTTTAAAAATTAAGCAACACCAAATTCATCGTCTAGTTCTTTGCTTTCTTGATTATGTTTAATCCAAAGCCGTGGGTAGAGGCTATTTAGGAAGTAGTGGCAGGGAAAACATGTTAAACTTCACCGAAGGTGACTCATGCTGCACTCTGAACAAGTTTATATCTTTAAATATCGTTATTACTAATAACAAGTGGGGAAATAATTAAAATATGTAAACTAACCATTTAACTCCGTAAAAAAGAGCAACTGAATCACCCCACGGGAGGAAATAAAGACAAAATTAGAAAATAATGAATTTATTAAATGAAAAAAAAAAAGCAAGTAGAATTGCTAGGTCCTGGAGTTGGTTCTGGATACAGGGGTTGGGGGAGGGAGAATGAAAAAAGAAGACAGAGACACCTCAGCCAATCCAGACGGCAAATGCAGAGAAACGTGAGTGTCCAAGAGAGACGTGAGGAAGCTTGTAAAGCGATGCACGGGGAGGAAATGGAATCTGTTTAAAAGGCTCTGGACCCACAAATTTTAAGGAGAGTGCTTTTAAACCTTCAAGGAAATAGTAATGCCCATAATGAAGGACCTTGTCTCCACATCTCTCACCCTGTGAATGCTCCAGTGGATTTCATAAACACCTAGAAAAGACAAGCGTGCCTGTGACTAACTCTCTGAATTAACTTTGTCCACTCTCCTGTCTTTGAAAATCCTAGCCAAATTGAGAGAATTAAGAGACAAGAGATGCAAGACTTGGAGGAGGGAGATAAACACACAATTATTTTAAATGATCTGTGGCTATCCAGACATTTTAAGAAAATTCTCAAAAAAGCTATAATCACTAGCAATTGTTCAGTAAAGTTGTTCCAATACAAAGCAAACTTTCAAAGCTAATAGCATTTTTATTTGCCTGAAATAATTGTATGTTATGTAATTAGGAAAAATGATATTTATAATTGCAACAAAAATAACAAAATACCAAGGAATGAACTGAATGAGAAATTTGAAAGAACTGCTTGTATGAAAAAATTGCAACATTTAAGCTAAGACATAAAAAAAGACATGTTTTAAAGAAATTCCTTACCATATTCCTAAATGGGAATACTCGACATCAAAAATATTTCTCTCAAATTAATATAAAAGTTTAATATAATACCAGTTAAATTTCACTGAATGTCTTGAAACTTGACAAAGCATTTCTAAAATCCATGTCAAAAAAATGCTGCAGTCAGGGCTGGCCCGGTGGCGCAGCACTTAAGTCCGAATGTTTCACTTTGGCGACCTGGGGTTCGCCAGTTCAGATCCTGGGTATGGACCTATGCATGGCTTGTCAAGCCACGCTGTGGCTGGCGTCCCACATATAAAGTATAGGAAGATGGGCACGGATCTTAGCTCAGGGCGAGTCTTCCTCAGCAAAAAGAGGAGGACTGGCAGCAGATGTTAGCTCAGGGCTAATCTTCCTCAAAAAAAAAAAAAAAAAAAAAAAGAAAGAAGGAAAAAACATGCTAGAGGGGCCAGCCTGATGGCGTAGTGGTTGGTTAAGTCTGCATGCTCTGCTTCAGTGGCCTGGGGTTTACAGGTTTGGATCCTGGGCGTGGACCATCACTGCTCATCAAACAATGCTGTGGTGGCATCCCTGCAAAATAGAGGATGATGGGCACCAATGTTGACTCAGGGCTAATCTTCCTCAGCAAAAAGAGGAAGATTGGCAATAGGTGTTAGCTTGGGGCCAATCTTCCTCACCCGCCCCCTCCAAAATACTGGAAAGAGCAAGAAATAATTGAGTAGAAGAAATAAAGAGAAACCTTTTCCAGTAAATATCAAAGCTACAATAAGTAAATACTGGTATTTGTATATAAATAGATTAAAGCAACACAACGAAAAACAATAAACAGATGGTAGAATATACAGGAATTTAGTAAAGAGATTTTTGGCATTTAAAAATGTGTAGGGGGCCAGTCCAGTGGCCTAGTGGTTAAATTCTGTATGCTCCACTTCAGCAGCCCAGGTTCAGTTCCCAGGCACAGACGTACACCACTTGTCAGCCATGCTGTGGCAGTAACTCACATACAAAATAGAGGAAGATTGGAGACAGATATTAGCTCAGGGCGAATCTTCCACAGCAAAGGAAAAAAAGTGTAGGGAAAGAGAGGTGTAGTAAATATGTGATGTTAGCATAACTTGTTAAATTTGATGACTATGTAGTTCATCGTTTACCTTCTATCAGACAAAAAGATACATTTTTGATGAATTAAAGAAATACATATAAAAATGAAACCACAAAAGTTTCAGTAAAATAAAGAAAATTTTTTATCTAACCTCAGAATGATGTGCTTTCTAAATATAAAATCAGTGGAAGGAATCCAAAAAGGTCCAAGAATTAGAGTAGGATAAAAAAATGTAAATGTCTGTATATCTGAAAAATGGTAAAGTTAAAATGTGAATGATGAACTAGGAGAGAATGTTTGGATCAAAGATAGCAGAAAATAAGTAATATCATTTCTATATAAAAATATCAACAAATTGAAGAAAATAAATAATCCAAACAAGGCAAATAAATAATGCACAGAGGAAAAAAAATAACAAAATATGAAATATATTCATCTGCAATAAAGGAAATGTACACCAAAACAATGATATTTATCTATGACATTGGTAAAGATTAAGATATGTATAATATTCTTATATTCAAATATTAGCAAGGGTAATGTAAAGGGTGTTCTGATGTATTACTGGTAACGAATATGAGCAATCTTTTTCAAATATGTATGTTTACAACTCTTGAAAGCTTTCCCATCTCACTCCGAGTAAAATTCCAAGTCCTCACGCCCAGCGTGGCCCTGCGGGCTCTGCCTCTCCACTGCCAGCGCTCACGGAGAGCTCGGACCCCATTTACTGTGCCTTTCCCTTCAGCCCTTCTGCTCTGATCACACTGGTCTGCTTGCTATTTCTTGAACATGGCAAGCACACCGGGACCTCAGGGTCTTTGCACTTGTGGTCCCCTCTGCTTGGAATGCTCTTCCCAGATATCCTCATGGTTTGTTCCCTCACTTCCATCTGGTCTCTGATGGATGTCATCTCACCTGACCAGCGTGTTAAAACGGCACACCTCACTCTCACCGTCACACTCCATCTGCTGAACTTTTCTGTTTTTCACAAAAGAACTCATCACGACGTCACAGATTTTGAACTCCTTTTCGGTCTCTCTAATTCTGTTTGCATCTGTGCTCCTTAAGAGCAGGCTTTTTGTCTGTTTCTCCCTGTATCATCAGTGCTCAGAACAATGCCTAGAAGATAGCAAATGCTGAAGAAACAGTGGCTAAATAGATAAATAAATGAATAATTGGTATAAACATTGTAGTGGGAAATGCCAATATCTATTTAGAGCCTTCAGGAATGTGTGTAACTTTTGACTCAGTAAATTTTAGAC